TGTTTTTTATTTTTTATTTTGAGCAGAGGTTGGTCTTGAACTTGCAAACCTCCTGTCTCAGTCTCCTGAATTACTGGGATTACAGGTGTGCACCACCATGCCCAGAAAACTGTAGTTGTTAATTTCAGAATTTATTAAGTCAGACTTATGAAGGTGTGGCAAAGCATTTATATCATCTAATTTTAAGAAAATTTATATCATCTAATAAATTTTTATATCATCTAATTTTATATCATCTAATTTTACCTTTTGGTCATTTAAAATCACGCAACAGCCTTTCATTTTTGGTTGATGAACACATTTTTGGCTGATTTCTACGTCATCTTTAAGATCTCAAAGTCACTTGTGTATTTATATTTACTTATTGATTTTATTCTTTCTATTTTTATCTTTATTCAAAATTTCTCATTTTTCTATTTTTATATTGTTTTATTACATATGTAATAATAAAAAGTATAGTTCATCTTATGTCCTTGATAATGAACCTGTATAAAAATTTGAAGTTTTATTAACAGAAATAGTAAAGAAAACAATGAAATATACAACATTTCTCATTTTCAAAGTGTTAAGAACAATTTGTTGTGCCAGGACAGATTCTAGAAATCACTTTATTGACTTCGTTTTTCTAGACTAAACTAGATGAGTGTTCAGCAGAGATTCATAACAGATTGAAAAGTAAGATGCACTAGAATATTTTAATCACTTCTACATTTTCCACATCTTAATTATTGCTATCAGTTCTCTTAAGTATTTTCTCTAAACAGTATTTCAAAAACACATTGGTAATACATTGAAAGCATGTAGATTGAGAGATCCCATGGCACTGTACAGCATTTTCATTTTTTATGTAGGCATCTAATAAATACTATGAATGGTTTTTCCATATAAGATATTTCATTGACCTCTTGTTTAGATATTCAAGGAAAAGCTCCCCAAAAAGATTATTTGGCACTGGTATTTTCATAATTGCTCTATGCTAATAAAGCAATATTTCACAAAAATGTTAATAGAAAAAGTTAAACATGCAAACCTTTTTTACAATAGAGAGTACATATTATCGCTTTGAGTGGTTAATTAAAGACTTGTGCAGGTGTTTCCCGTTATCTGGAAGAGATGTGTGTTGATATTTTAAAATTTCATTGCAAAATAAAAAAGTATTTATTCCCTATTTAGAAATTAATAATGTTTCATGAAAGTTCATTGGGATACAATTTAAGAAAAGAAATAGTATTCACAGGTTTCTTTGGATTATCACTTTTTCTCAAATGGAACTCTTGTTTGGGTGGAGATCTGAACCATAGGGACCAAAAATGTGAAATAATACATAAACATAATCTGTATAAAAACTTTCAGAAAAGCAAATATTTTGTGATGGTCTGTTTTCATTTCTATTGGGGATTTTTTTAAAGCAACATAAAGATGAAAATCTGTATTTATTCTAGTGTATTTTGAAACTTATTCCTAAACAGCGTTTCAAGTAGAAATAGATTCCCTTTCCTCTTTGACCCTTCTCCTTCCTCAGTGGTTGATTGCTGATAATAGATAATAATGAACTTGGGTGAGGCCAGACGGAGCAGCAGGTGCAGGTTATGTAGTTCTCTGGTGATAATATTAATGCTCCAAGTCTCTGGAGTTCACATATACCACTGTTGTTCATGTGGAATTAGTGGGTTATCATGGCAGGACAGGATGTCAGAGAAAATAAATTATTCATAAAACCAATCTGGAAAATTGTTCTTCTTACATGAAAGATGAGAACTTTGCATGGTGTAGACAGAAGCCCAGCAGTAAGTTATGGGCTCACATTCAAGTTCTTCTCAATATAAGATTTAAAAAAAGAAAAACAAATGTACAATAACTAACAGCTAATGCCATTGTCTGCCCTGCATCATTCACTAGTTACGTCTTAACTTTTTCTTTAAAAATGAATCCTTAGCCAAAAGCTATTTAAGCAAAAAGAATCCCACCAAAAGCAGCTCTTTATATTCAATTCTATTGAATGTGTCACAATCCTCCTCCCACCCCTAACCTGGGGACCATGCTCTACTCCTGTGTTTCCAGGTGTCCAACTCCAGGCTGTGATGGGTCCGGGCATGTGACTGGAAACTATGCTTCCCACAGAAGGTAGGACTGATTCCTTTCTGAGAGGGGGGCACAGGTGTCCACAGTAGTACTGAGACCACTTATTTGTGTGTTGTTCTTTGTTGGTTGTGTATCGTAGCTTGTCCGGCTGTCCTCGTGCAAGAAAAGGGGGTGTCAAAATGACTCCTACCAAGGAAGAAAAAGAAGACCCTGAACTTAAGTAAGTGCAATGGTGGCAGCATTGGGGTCAGCTGTGTCTTATTTGCCAATTGGAGGAGCCTTGGTTGGGATGCAGTTGAGCATCAACTGAATCCCGGGGAAGGCACATCCTGCTGAGCACCAGGACTACCGAAGCAAGAGTCAGATTGTTTGGAGGTTTGAGAACATTTTCCCATTCAGAACTAAATTTCCATATTTCTTTGACAATGCAAAAGAAAAGGTGGGAGATTTGTAGTTTTCCCAGTTGTTCTAAAGGAAAG